AGAATGCGACGCCGATGACCGCCGCTATCACCTCGGTATGTGAAGCGAGCAGGCTCCTTATCTCCGGGAGTAGCCGAGATTCTCCGAGTGCCTAAGAGTCAGTCTCGCAGGCGACCGGACGAAAAAACTGATGAGCGCTTGAGCGGGCGGTTGGAACGAGCACCCGATTGGCACTCCTCAAGATTCCCCGCAGATTTTTGAGCAGATTATCTGCAGCACATGTCTCCTGAGGATTCTGCCAAAGTTTGAAACGTTCGATCATTCGGCATTGAGCTTCGGCTCCAACCCGCAGCAGCCAGATCGGTGGGCGGTTGAGCAGCACGCGAGAATCGGTGGCGGAGTCTCTGAGTGAGTCGATCAAGTCGATGTCTGCGGGTTTACATACCCAGAACAGGTGATACAGTTTTCATGGTGAGAATTTTCAGGTGAGACATTCTTGGTCAGTGGAATCCATGATTTTCTTTCTGTGAGTGAGCGTCTGTCTATTGTGAGTCAATCAGACGGAATCGTACAAGAGAATATCGGACAGCGAGCCTAGTAGACGGCGTTTGCTTCGGACTTCTCGGCGAGATCGCACTGATAGCGATTGTACAACTGTCGTGAAACTTTCCGTGTGCCGTCACTCACAGTCTCTGAAGGTAACAGGATATAGAAGCGACTGCCGATCCGAGTCATCGACGAAAAGTCAACAAGATGTACAGAAAAAGAAGCGAAAAAAAACGAAGCAGAGTGTATGAGTGTCGGTCGATCGTGGTAGCGGTCTGCCTTCCCGCTCACTCCGTGATCGCTTGTCTCATCACGGCAATGTCTCGTTGTCCAGATTGAATCGTTGTCCACCGTTCGTCGTACATCGCTGTAGGGGTCGGTGGCGAGAGCCGGGTTTACCCGGGAGAAAATACACAGACCCTGATGAGCATTCCAGTGAACATAAAAACAACGTGATATCGGATCACTCAGTTGGAGTTGTTCGGTAGCGTCGCTTTTTCGATCGGAGACATTTTATACGATTCGTTCACTCAGATCATTTGGAGGTTCGAACGAAAATATTCGTACAAGGCGCCTCCATACCTGACCCCTATCAAAAAACCGACCTCTGAATGATATTGCAAGCAGTCTCCCATTCATGATCCAGACTCCTGGTTCGATCCGAGATCTTCCGGATCGTCGCTTGCGTCGAAGAAAGCTCGGCAAGCGGCGGCGAGGAATTTCGAGCCTCCAATCGGAAATGAGCGTCCCCCGAAGGTCGTCCACGACTTCGTCGTGGAGGGACCGATAAAACGGAACGTTGCGTTGAGCTCACGATTTCCGCAGTCGCTTCGAATGACCCACGAGATAGACCGATTCCCGCCTCGAAATTGATAATTTCGCCAATCGGAATGAGGAATACTAGAAGCGTTCCCTTGATTATACAGTCCATGGTGATAGTCATATTTCCCACTGGAAGCGTTTCTTCGGATGCGAAAATTTCTGCCTTGAGCACAGAGAACAATTTGCCTGTGATAGTCTTATCTGGAAACCCGTCCGTGCAGTCGCGGTTCCACCACCGACAATATCTGCTCGGGATGAATGTTTGGGATTGGATAAGCATGGTCCGATTTCGTCAACACGAACCTTCCTCGCATTCATCGGCGTGCTTACGAGGAAGCCGCAGCTGGACTATCAAACTTTTTATCACCGTTTCGCTCACGCTTGTTGTGATTCAGCTTCCATGAATGCCGCTGCCGGGAACGGAAGAATTCTCCACTGTTTCTGCGAATTGTGCCCGGGATTCTGACCACTGCGTTTCTGAGCCTCACTTCTGCCAGTCAAGTTGCGTGTATGCGCTGAAAAACGCTGAGAAGTCAAAGGTTAAATCGCTTGTCAACCGATCACCCATGGGCCGTTGGTGATTCCATGGCTGGTGATCGAATTGAATTCGGGTGACGGAGCGATCGGGCGAACGAATCGACAGGCAATTTGAGGCAGTCAGTCGGGCGGGCAGACAGTCAGGTGAAATCAGGAGGCTCGCTAAATAGAGCTCCGCCGGGGCGGCTATCTGATTGTCCATCTCGTGGCCGGCCTCTTCTGGGGTCAGATGAGATCTCTTTTTTTTTGTTTCGAGTCCTCTCTATCTGTGTCGAGCTCTTGCCATCTAGAGGCCCCTCAATTAACACAGATGTCCGACCAAGTGGCAAAACACTGAAGAAATTGGCAACAAATCTCCGACAAGCTTCATAACGAGCACTAACGAGACGGGCAACACTTGAGGACACCGTCTTCGACTTCGAAAACCGCGACAAACACTGACCTCGGTCACGTCTAATGTACGAAGGGAATTTATAGCTAAGACGCTTCCGCTCGCGGCCGGCGCAGTGTCAGTAAGGATCTCCCCGTTCTAACGTCGCGTCGCAGCACCGTGACGAGGAACATGTGAATCTTGAAGGAACTCCGGAGAAGATTTTATCGCGTGGTCTTTGGGTCGACCTCTCGTAATCGGATCGACTGCTTCAAATTCCAATGAACTCTTCTAGGGAAGATAAAGGAACTCATCAGAAAGCACTTGATGGACGGATGGAATTCCGTCGACCACAAAGCTGGAATAATGATATCTCTGAGGAGCTCTGAGAAGCTCTGAGGAGCTCCTCGAGAGAATCGATTGGGGGGTCGCCGAATTCGTCGCTCGCTGCGACCAACGACGTCGGTGGACCTGCGTGGGAAAATCATCGACTTAATCAGCCGCTTCGCAAATGTTTCGTGACGGAACCATCGAGACTGACAGTCCGGAGAAATTGCGAAGCCTCCGGCCATGATCGAGATGATTGCGGCGATGATCCTGATGGAGAGCGCCCTCGCGAGAAAAGGGTGCCGCAGCGGGCACAGGCGAGCAACCAGAAGTTCGCATCGTTCTTGAAATAGTTGTTCCGATACCAGATAAGAAATCATCGATCACCGATCGACGATTCAGGACGAAAAGTGTCGCCATTACGCATTTTCAGCGGTGTCATCGTTCGGATGGAGCCCTATTGTCGCTGGAAGATGCCTCTCAATGGAGTGGCAAGTCCCTCGCGATTTTTTCCGAAAGCCTGGATTAATTTGATTATCTACGGGTCTGTCTTCGAGCCGGGGACCGATTTCTCGGAGGATATTGGTGGACGTCGGGACGACGACGCGACGGTGCCCAACCCTCCGGAGCAGAAAGTCTGCGAGCTGCGGCTCCGCTCGATCAAATCTAGAGTTGAATATATACCGATCCGAATCTGAGCGGTCCGAAGAAAAATGGTACCGAATGACACGAATAAAAGCAAGAGATAAAGTGAACTAGACTGTACGTGTAGTGAGCCATCATCCCCGAGAGCCTAGCGGTCGGTGTCCGAGTGTTGATCGCTTTTCCGGATGACAACGTCTAGCGGCATAACACTATTGAATCTCAATAAAACCGGGTGGAACAAACCCTGGAATTCGCGGAATTATCGGAGCGCCGTATCATGGTGTGACATGTCGGTCGATGTCTGTGATCTGTGCGCTGTTCTGCTTCTCATTTAGGATTTCGCGGACGATCGCAGGATTTCCGAAACGTCACAGACGATATTTTCGATGGCCTATGCACTTGAACCCGAGATCGTTACATCTGCGTGGCACCCCTACCAAGATACCACTGGCGACGTTGTATACGTTTCACGCGGACACATCTCGGCATCTCGGCTGTAATCTTCTGCCTTCCCTGCGAGATTAAGATACACGCCATTCAGATCCACACCTCTGCGAGATAGCCGCGCCTGTCAGCTAGGAGCCACTTTTTTTTATATTTGTACAAAAAGTTCAATGATCGTCCCTTTGTGTCGAGCTCTTCTTCGGTAAAGGACTCTGAAACAACATCGCTTCTGCTACCGATCAGTTTTGCGTCAATTACCTCCGGACTCGGAGGTCTCCCGCCTTCTCTCCCCAAGGCTTTTCTGATGCTGTGGTCGGAGACGAAATTCCCGTCCGGTGGAGAAACTCGTTAGAAAATCGTTTCTCATCCGATGCGACATGTTACCGCTGTCACCACGAGCCGGAGAAACGAGTTCTGCGTCTTCCGTCAACGCTCGCCCAACGCTCGCCCAACGCTCGAGACATCGCACGGCTTCCATTATATCTTCTAATTGATTCTCCTGAGGATAGCACAATTGCTCGACATTCGTCGGCATTCCTAATTCGGGAATGATCCGAAACGATCCGAGGCTTTCTCGACTCGCTTGCTCGCTCTCGTGTACGCTGTACGCCCTGAATAACGCTTGCGGAATGGGGAACGAGGGAAACTGATCGAGAATGACACGGTACGGAATCTTATCATTCGCATCGAAAATGCAAGACTGGACGTTTGCCGGAGTGTTCCGAATCAGAACGGTCTCTCTCTGGAACGAAATTCGTACGGGAGCCAACGTTTTCGAACACAGAAGAAGGCAAGCCCAGTGGCTTTTGAAGAAGCTCTATGTAATCGACGCGCAGGCGCTGCCCGTATCGTGTCATTTTCACCATGAGCGTGAGACGTGTTCGCACCTCGACTGCGAGGCCGCAATGCGACACGTAACATCTTTAATAGCAGTTATCGAACCAGCTATCGGGCAGTCGAGAGGGTTCAGCCTACGTATGACGAGCTGAATTATTCCGTAGGAGAGAAAAATCGCTATCGATCGAAATATAAAGAAAAAATAACGATGATTAACGTTCGACGCTTGAGAAATGACCCTGATTCTATCTCCGGTCGCTTATTCCGTCGTCGCTATTTTCATGAACATCGAGCCTCCTCAAATATGGAAATAAGAAAGTGAAGCAAATAATATCAATGAGGAAAAATGAATCATGCTCTTCCATGAATCATGAGAATGTCGCGCAGCGAGACTCGGCTGTCGGTTTCGGGGATATCAACCTCTTTTTTATCGATTGGAAAATCTTGAAATTATCTGAATGAGTTCCATCTTCGGAATAGTTCCATCAACAAATTCAAAAGTCGTTTCTCACTCCGATTTCAGGCGGTCCAGATGGCTGCGGAAGTTCAACCACCCGAGTTCGCGGCCTTCGCAGCGCACGTTCCAGACATAATCCGACCGAAGCCCCGCAGACTCAGCGATGTTCGTAATGTGGTCCCGTCATCACCTCGACCTCCAGGGGATGGGGCCCCTCCGACGATAGATTTCGCTATCGATTTGAACTGCGCGGATCTTGAGAACGATGTTTTCCGGGACGACGCCGAGGACTGTACGCCCCTGCGTCCCCTCCAAAAAAATTCGGCGGGTGGCTCGGCACCTGCATTGCATAGATCATTCAGTAAACCCCGCCCCCTCACCCCACACGCAGCACCTCCTGCGAACACGCTCGTGGCTAATCGCGAGAAGTTCGCCGGAGTTGACCTGAACGACTGTGAAAACGTAGAGACGAGGTGAGGATCAGTACTGTCAGACGAACGCTGCTCCAAGCACGCGATATCCAAAATGAAGGCGGGATACGATTACGGTGGTATATCGGGGAATTCATTCCTTGTCCGGAAACTTCCAGAACGGAAAACAGCAGTAGCGCGAGCAACACGGATTCTCTGAGCTCCACCGAGAAAGGAGAAGTTCGGCGAAGACCATTGCCTCAGCGAATGAAGCAGAGAAGAAGAAATATTCTCAGTTTTCCACAGTCTTTGGATTTGCTGCTGCAGCAACAAAAAACGAGGTGATATTCCGATTCTGAATTTATCCATTTCGATGCTCATACCAGAAAAAAGTGACGGTGGCCTAAAGACGGTGTGAGAAAGGGATCTGCGCTGATTAATTGGACCAGGAAGCCTTAAGACGATTATTCTTCCTGAGAAGATATGATAGCTCGGGTCACGCATCGATGACGGAGAGCACCGCGAGCGAGTACGCGCTGTCGAAGGACAACGTCGATTCCTTTGATCCTGAGCAACTGATGGAGAAGTTGACAATCACCAGTGGGACCACCAGGAGCATAAGGTTTGTTGATAGCATACAGCGCCCGGGATGATTCTTGTTGGCCGGATGGGAGGCGCACGGTGACCATCAATCACGCCCCGTGGCTTTGGATGAGGCCCGAAATTGTTATTTAATGATTAATTCTCATGATCGATGGTTAACTCGAAACCAAAATTAATTGAATATTAACAGAAGCGCGGTATCGACTGACTCTGAAGATCAAGCGACGCTCCCCGCTCCGAAGAAAGTCTCACCGCGCGTTGTTCATCAATCCAGCATGGAAACTGTGGCCACGAATCTGACCTGTGAGTAATCCGTTGACGTCAACGCCATGGATACCCGATTTCTACCCGTTCGTAGATGAAGTAGGAGATCCCTCTGCCAAATGGGCTGTCTCTGACAGCGAACATCTACCCATTCCGCGATTCCCTTCCAGCGAGCGCAGCTGATGAATTCGTTTGGCTCGAACCGTCGTATCGCTTAGTGCAGCTGCAGCGAGCTCCATGGGACGTCGCCACGGTACAGAGAATCATTGAAAACTCCACCAAACTCAAAGACGTTCTCCACCGCATAGCGCAAGATGCCATTCCGAAGCTGGCTTTCTTGTTGCAAAGACCCCTGGTGAGAATCGCACGAGAAGCTCAGCGTTTCGCTCGTGCTATCGGCGTTTGCGGCAAAAGCGAGATAACGGGAGCACTATGGGTCGTCCTGTCGCCATGGTTGGCCAACAACTGTGTCAAAGGTAAAATCAAACCTGACATCAGGTGCAAATCGAGATACGGACACATACAGGCGTTTGAGAGCAACAATATCATATTTTCAAATCTGAGCTCTTTTCCTTTTCCTCGTGCATCGAAATTGTGAATGACGTTGTCCTCCGCGATTTCAGCGTGTCACCGAGCGGCAGCCATTTTCGGTGGGGCTTCGTGTTCGCGCCAGTCGAAATCGTCCCGGGCCGGACTGTTCTTCTCGGTTGGATCCTTTCATCGCTGGACAATCGACGCCGGTCTAGCCCCTTTCATACCGGAAATGGCGGCGGTATTTCTAGCGGCGGCCTTGGAGAATCTCTTGGAAGAAGTCGTTTTCGCGTGTTTGAGGTCAGTCGGCCTCGCCAGACGCCATATTTCAGGGAGCACGGCTTCACGATTTGCGGAATTTGTCGGAGATCGGAATTCCTCAAATCCCCCCGAGACCTCTCTCTGAGAATATTCTTCTTGCGATGCAGATGCTATGAAACACTGACGGCAGCCTCGGTGGACTCGGCACTCTCTCAGAGCGGGGATCTGTTCGGATTATTCCAAAGCTGCACTCATCTCACCATGTCCAGGTCCAGCACTGGGATCCCGATTCTGCCCAAATGGCCGGTTCAGGTCCCTCAGAGAGGTGATGAGCACTCGATGCTGACGACATGCGTCGCTAGCATCGGCGAGCTCGAAGAACTTCTGCAGAAAGCCCTCCATCTGCTCAATATGGCCATGCGACCCGCTTGGGGTCAGCAATTGGGTGAGTCTCTCATGGCGCATTTTTCCCCACCCGTTTTCCATCTCGTATGGAAGCGACAGACCATGGAAAATTCGAGCGAGAGCGTTGCCACATATCGATCTCATTGATCTTATTCCTCCATCAGTGCGCTGGTCCTCGGCCGGAACGCGGGCCTTGTTCTACTACACGAGGTGCTCCCAGCTAGAGCATTCCCAGTACGGACACCAAAGAACTAGTTCTTCTCTTTCGCCGGAACGCTCCCAACTCCTCCCGCCAATCATTGAATGGGTTCGCGTCGCATCCGCCTTCACCGTATATCGCCACCAGTCGTTCATGGTCGATGAGAATGATGTGCTGCAAGCTGCGCGGCTTTTGCTGCCCGGCGTTGACTGTCCACTGCGAGCCTTCGGGTGAGTTTTTCTTTATCTTGGGCAAATTCCTCGAATTCTTCTACTCTAGCTGTGGAAATTCATCCGAGCTGGCGAATACCATTGCTGATTTTCTCCCGACAGGATCCAGCAGGACCCAATCGAGTTCTTACCGGAAAAAATCAACGGTCCCGACGGCGTTCGCTTATTGAACACTCGAACCGCCATGCGACTCATAGGGACCTCCACTCGCTTGGATATAATCCACAGCGTTTTGAAGCAGGTTCCGAACGGAGTGAATACGGTCAATGAGGACGGACTGACAGCTCTGATGATAGCTGCGCTCCGAGGGGACGACGCGTCGATAAAATGTCTGATATCCGCTGGAGCCGATCTGGATCTGAGGACCCCGGGACAGACCGCACAGAGTCCCGGAGCTCGTTCAGAATGTCAGTTTTGGACGGCGCTCACCTACGCGGTCGCTCAGGGCAATATCGGCGCCGCGAAAGCTCTCCTCGAAGCCGGAGCTCAGGTTGAGGCCGGAGGTGAAACTTTCCCGACAGATACCCCGCTGCAGCTCGCCGTGGCAGCCGCTCATAACGACATGATCACCTTGCTGTTGTCCTTCGGGGCCCATCCATACCTCAGCACGATGACACCAGACAATCAGTGCTATGCCCAGGGTCTGGCCTCATCCGGGACTCCGTCTCCGGTGGCTGTCGCTGCCGCTCACGGCCATCGTTCAGTTCTCCACCGACTCATATCCCACCCGATACACGGATCGAGTCCTCAAGCAGCTGTTTCCCTGGAGGAAATCCTGTCGGAAGGAAGCCAGAGTACACTGCAGCGGAAAACGAGACACTACAAGTTTTCGAAAAATCAGTGGCGATGTTTACAGGAGGCGATGTATCATAGCGCGGAGAACGGTTTCCTGGAAATCACCCTGGACCTCCGGAACATGGGTGAGTCCAAGCGGTAGCAGTGGCTGGTTCCAATCTCCTGGCTGGGTGGTCGAAAGGAGATCAGCCTCAAACACCCTCCGTTCATTAATTCAATCAATTTGATCAACCAGGAGTTTCATGGACGCTTCACAGCTGGAGCAAGTCGCTCATGACGTGTCACATGCAACAACATGAAGCCGCCCTGAGCGAGATCCTGCAGGACTTTCAGATGACCTGGACTCAGGAGAGCTCTGCGTTGCTCGTGGACGAGACTTTCCCCCTGATGTTCGAGCTGATGGCTTGCAGCAAGGTTCGTCTGACTTCGGAACGTTGAGTCATGAAGAGACTTCTGGGGATCGCCGGCAGTGCCTCCCGTTAATGAGTATCTCTCTCTCCCTCAGAACGATAATGTCACCCTGACCATAGTGAACATCTTATCCCAGTGCTTCGGGAGGGAGCCTCTGGAATCAATTCAGCTCCCCACAAACCGATTACCTGGACCACGAATCGATCCAAGATACGTCAATTCTCCGGAAATGGCTGATGTTCGATTTGTAGTTGAAGGGAAATCATTTTACGGACATAGAATTATCCTGGTCAATGCTTCTGAGCGTTTCAAGGAGATGTTGGCAGGAGGGAGCAGTGACCAAGTCGTCACGATCAAAGATATACGCTATCCGATCTTCCAAGTTAGTTTCTCGCCTTGAAATCCGGCAAACTTGAAAATTCAAATGTATCTCCAGAGAATGAGAGAGATATACATCCGCTTAGCTCGACTACAGCCAATCCGCATTACAGATGATCATGGAGTATCTTTATAAAGGAGGATTCGACGGGATAGCGGTTTCGCCCCAGGACGCTCTCGAGCTCCTCACGGCTTCGACTTACTTTCAGCTGATTCCTCTTGTAACCTACTGTGAGCACATTTGCACCAAGGTAAGCTGGGCGTTTCCGATTCGGTGACCCTATGAAGGATCCTGGCTCCTAGTTCCTGAGTCCTAAATCAATGTCAGTCATGCCTCGACGCTGCTGAGAGTGAGTCTCGACCTCGCGTTGAAAAACAATAAGAATCGCTCCCCGTTACAGACCATCACCGTCGAGAATATCGTTTCCGTCTTCATTCATGCTCGTGTTTACCATGCATCGCACCTTCTCCGCTACTGTCTTGGCTTCATGCTGCAGAATCTTGTATCTCTGATGAGTTACGACAACAGTTTTCGAAAGCTGCTCACCAACCGCGAGGATCACGGTGATTTGCTCAAGAGACTCAAGTACGCTCTCCAAGTGAGAGTGCGACAGCGGGACGCTCAGATCTCGTTGATGTCGGGGAAAAGCCCGATTGTCTGAAAGGATCGGCAACTTGTAAATCAAGTGTATATGGAACGCGGATGATCGCGAGGAAGCAACGGAAACGAGAAGAATAAATAGACTAGTCGAGACTTTTGAACTTATGATAATTGTTTTTGCTGCATGAGATTTTTCTTTCGATATCAGATCGGAGCAATGCGATTCAGCGCGCAGAGAATGACGAGTCGATGAAATCTTCAGCGAAGCAGATGGATTTCTGGAAAAATTCCATAATCGAATATCTATATGAAACCGCTCAAGAGTGAATCATTTCGGGCAATTCTATGGCCGATAGTGAACTTGAAAACTCGTGGGATGGAAGCTATCGAGCTCGATTTCTCCGTGGTCGTGTTATCTTTTTCAGAAGAGGAATTCTGGCTGAAAGCCGCCTATTCGCTCGGGATGCGGGTTCACTGTCTCTGATGGCGTTATAAACGCTCGAATGTGGTTGTGCATCATTCAGAATTCCCCGGACGTGCGACCGTTTCGACCGGAGATGTTAACGGTATAGTTTCCCTGAAACTGACTCAATCGAAACTCGCTGGGATCCCTATATCGCACCGAAATACCATCCGAGGTGTTATATCTATTGTAGAGTCCCACTGTAATCATTACAACCCCCGGAATTTCAGCGCTGGATCCTCCTGCTCGGATTGCTCAGTTCAACGTTCTGCGTCGGTTACGTCTACTACGGGGCTCTCGGCTATTACCCCTACGGATACTTCTGGCCCGCCTATTTCTACCCCTACTATGGGAGCTTCTACTACTTGTATTACCCTCGATTCGCTCTCACGATCGGTCGAGGAAGATAAGCGAGAAACAGCGTCGCCAAGGGACGACTCTATCAGAACGAATTGGGAAACCGTGAGCTGGCAAATTATCTCGCTCGACATCGACTGGCTTCGTGGAAAGCAGCCGAACAAGAGGATATTTGCAATAAAGTTGATCGACGGGTGATTTTTATTGGCTTTCAGGTCAAATCTCTGAGAGGTCGGATTCGCGGATTCGGAGCTTCCGACGCCTCGTTCTGTCGGAACGATTCTCCTCTAGACGGACTTGGAACAATCGTTGACAGGAGCTGAAATTCGTTGATCGAGAATAATTTATAATCCGTGTTCCCCGCTTGGGCGCACGGGCGAAGCCGGAAGTTGCGAATAAAATTCATTTCTGTGTTTCAACTCGATGTCTCTATTTATTCAACGTCGACTATGCAGATCCTTCAAAGACTGGAACGCTCTGAATACAAGCAAAGGTTCGGAAGTTGCTGTCGATGAGGAGTTGGAGTCGACCGTGGTAGTGATTTGCTCCGTCGAATCCTCTTCCTCTCCGGCATTCCCTTGCGCCTTCAATTGCACGAGTGCCGTCTGTTCGTGAGCGGCTGAGCGAAACCAAATATTAACTCTGCTTAGAATCGTCGAAGCTTCTTGAGGAGTTCCGTTAAGCTTTCACGCGTGCTGCGACTCGGGGTGAGAACTCTTCACTCTAGAACTCTAGAGTATAGACTGGCCCCGAACCAATTAGATCTATCATGACATGAAATATCGTCCATCCGTGGGTTGAACAACCCCGAGACCATCTCCAGGAAAGAATTTGGATGGGGCATCTGTGTTTACCATCGAGTCACGTGTCGCAACTACAACCTCTTTCGGATAAGCGTGGGCTATAGATTTATCGCCTCGCTAACAGGAGCGTTCCCAGGATTTTTTTTTGGGGGGGGCCAGACTAGGTTTTCCGGGGGCCAGAGATCCAAAATGATGAGTTACCCTGTACTCCTGCATTAAGCAAAAAGAATTTTGGGGGGGGCATGGCCCCCTTGGCCC